AGCATCAGAATCACAAAATTAAAATACACAAGGGGCTCTCGTGGCCTAGAGGTTAAGGTGTGCGCCTCTCATTCCCAGATAGCAACATAACAAATTTCTTCTCTAAAATTGTCTTCTTTCTCCTCCTTTCCTGCTCTCTAGCTATGTTCTGTCGTCTGCTTTCGTCTCCACTTTCTGCCCCCACCCCCTTTGCCTCCTCCTCTGGGCTCCTGACGCTTTCCGCAGCCTTTCTACCGCTACTCTTTGGCTCCTTCTTACTGCTGTCTCCTCAGCCATGCCCCTGATCTTCTGGTAGGAAAGATCTACACCGAACCTTCTCGGACAAGGGCGAAAAATCTTTGAGGTCTCGTGTGCAATTTGCGCACGTTAAAGATCCCTTGGTGGTCTAAAATCCAGAGTAGGCTTCGGCCGCAACCCAGACAAAATTCAAAATTTCCTACCAACTGAAAATATTTAATGTGTCCTACGCGCTCATATGGCCTTATGCAGTTGCGAGCGCCGTAAAACACTTACAAATAAAAAAATACACAAAGTTACACCAACACAGAAAATGTTATAAACACCCCATAGTCATTCACATCTGTGCAGTATCATGTGTATCTGTTAATCTTGTGACTTTTTAACTTGTTTTGTGATCTCTAAACCACTGAGTATGGAATTTTAAAGTATTGTCCACCACCACCTCTCGAAGACATATTTTTAGTGAAGTTTACTACACATGACAATATACTGTCCCCATGGTTTTATGCACCCCGCATAATTTAGCCAAATTTGATAATTTTTCGCATAATTTCTGATTATTTTCCAATATTATTCTTTGTTAAAATTAACAGAATCGCATAATTTCACATTTTTGGGCTCAGTTTGCAGAATTTCATAATTTTTCTTGCATAAAACGACGGGAACAGAATATAAGAGTATAATGCCTATTTTTATAGTGTTAAAAATAAAAACAACAAATACCTCATAAAGCAGCCAGGGTGTGCAAAAAGTTTAGCCAGTATCACGTTGGACTATGGTGTGGATGACCATGATTTGAAAATTCCCAGCAGGCCATTTTTCTTCGATTTGGTTTGCATGGGGAGTTTTCAATTTCAAGTCTTTCTACTTTCTTGGCTTCGTGATAATCTCTGTGGAGGGTAAACCCACTACAGCGGGGCCCTTTGTTTGGTACTAAATCACTAAATGAGTCATGAAATCAAAATAAGTCAACCTATTTTGATGGTGCTTCATCTAATGAATGAACTCCCGATAAAAGAAACCTGTTTTCAGCAATTGCCGAAAAGTAATTTGATGTCGAAGTCATCGTAAAGGTAAGTGCCCGAGCCGCTGCCAACGGCACAATGGTTCCAAACGCGAGCTGCTGGGAACGGCTTGCCAGAGACAAGGAGTTATACCCGTACAATTATCAATAATTAATTGTCCTAAATGCAGCAATAATAAATCACACAGGCAACGAAAAAAAAGAAACCTCGAGAGACAAGTTGGATGGTATTCTTTTGGGGAGTTAGTCACATGTTATTGTGACAGAAGTATATAAACAGAAACAGCTCCACGAAAATTAAGCCAAACTGCATGTTTACAAAACATGTGTCGCATGGAGGTTCTATTCTCAATGGGGATTTTCAGAACTTGTTAAGTTACACCAACTACTGACCTGTCTGCGTGTCATGGAGAGAAATAAGGAGAGGGAGAGAGAGAGATGAGACAAATATTGTAGAGACAATAGATAGGCTGTCCGAAGGCCTCAGTCTATTATATCTATTGACAATCCCAAAAGGCAGAAAACAATACTGTAATGAAACAAAAAAATAGCACAAATAATGCATCGCACAATGATAATAATAATAATGATAATATGTTATTATCTTTCAACAAAACTGAAACATTTTCATTTTTTAATATCCACTTTTGTTTCCATTATTATTACTTTGTACTATACACAGATTAATCCTCAGATGACAGCAAGATAAAACTTTGTGTCACGACGTGGTGGAATCAGGCACTCGTCAATTTTTAGGCATGTGGAGTTATTGGTATCATTTTAAAACTGGTTCAATAAATTGTCTTGCTATTGGTGAAAAAAATGCCCATCTATCTTAAATAGAAATCAAAATATTTTAGATTGAAGAAGGTGGGGTCGCCTGGTTTCAATTTATTTCAAAGGTAGAATTAACCAGAAAATGGCCACCAAAGTTTGATTATTTCCATAGCTTGATAGTCTGTGGAAACAGAAATCTGACATTTTTGGTGCCTTTAATCAACGCTTTTAAGTAAAATCCACTCAGATATGGGTTCTTCATTGGACAACAATGGTGTTAGTGTTAAGCCAAAAAACAAAAATTAGATAAAAATTACCAAACTCAAACTGGCAGAAAAATGCCATTTCTTCAATTTCATTATTTTGACGAGCGCCTGATTTCATCACGTTGCTTTACATTTTAAAGCATACTCACACATTTTCAACATTTTGAGTTTGAACACATTTGAAATATGTTATACAGGGTATATTGGTCCACCTCTAAAGACACTTTTTTATTCAGACTGTTCAATATAATCTCCAATCATGAATGAATTAAACTGGTGCAAAGTGTTGAGATAGTCACAAGCAGATGATTTTTTTACATGTACCTAGTAATACAGTCTAGCATTAAGCACATACATAGAAAAATCGGCCGGACGAGAAAATCATAATGCACAAATTTCAATATATGTCCGTGTTTACTAAGAATACATGTGGCAGAAAAAAATTGGGACCTGAAAATATGTTCACTATGTGTGTTTTCGCTACATAGGTGTTAAACAGTATTATGTTTATCTTCCTATAGTTCGAACATTGGACAAGTGTTCACTCACACCTACACTCAAGTTTTAGTGGGGGGGGGGGGGAAAGAACATTCAGACTGTGATCATTATTAATGGCATACTGTAACTCTCAGCAGCCAGTCTTCTCTGGTCTGATCATATGAAAGCATCCACCAGGTACTATTCTTTAAGAACTGTGGTTCATTAAAACAAATGCATCTTCTACACAAGTGTCTGTGTAGTATTGGTTATGCTCTTCACCTTCAACACTGCATACAGCTACCATGAGTTTGATTCCCACATTGGGAAGTACTTTTATCAAGTATCTCAATCTGCCTGCTGGAATGCTGTTTCATATTCCATTTAGCCTAGGTTATTTGTAGTGTAGTGGCTTAGCACTTCTCAATCACACACAGGAGACCCGATTTGATTTCAAATGTGGAGAAAATTTTTATCGATTGTCTATGTCTTTCTGCTACAATGTTGCATCCCTCTCAGACCCAGTTAGCTCTGAGAGGCAGAGTCGAAACAGCATCCCTTCCCTCCTAAAATGATCTAAAATGTGTCTATAGAATAGATTTAAAACCACCTAAACTGTGTACATGGGAGCATAAAACATTAATTTACAATCATTATTATCAATCAATCAGGATCTACTAATCTTTGAGAAAATATGTCCAGCATACAAAAGCATTCAGTAATCTGTTAGAACTTAAGTTTTTGTCTTTGTCGCAAGGAATGTGATTACATAAAAACAAAGTTTGTGAGCACCCAATAAAGAATGTAAACCGATTACTCAACTTGAGACTTTCATAATGGCTAACCTAAAATTCCATTAGGGCTGTTGAAGTTGAAACCAAAATTTAGCGTTCAAACATAAGACACAATGAAATACAGGTAGCCATCACCGAACAAATGTTGATAACAAATAAAAGAACAATGGCCCAGTACCCTAATAAATATCAATCAGATAAAAAGAGTTACAGGAATGTACACAGTACACCTTTGCACAATAAATAATGGCAATTTGTCTGTCAAACAAGCGTGAAGATTTGAGAATTTCTTTATACACATTGGAAGACTTCACTTTCACATGAATAAATACAAATAACAATTGATGTTTTCCCTTCTGAGTCTGCGTGAGAAGGTCCTCCCATTTGGCCATGAGGATAACACAATAAATATGATTCCTTGTCAAATGTCATCAAGCTTATACATATCCATCCTAATGTACTTCACAATATTCACTGTCATCTAAAAAACTGAACACATACAAAGCATGTGAAATCTCTCTCTCTCTCTCTCTCTCTCTCTCTCTCTCCCTCTCCCTCTCCCTCTCTCTCTCTAGCTCTCTCTCTCCTCTCTCACCCACTTACACACACACACACACGCACATACACACACACACACACACACACACACACACACTGCAGGATTCACTGAAAAATTCTTTCAGAATGTCATGCCAGCCGAACTCATAGTTTGATACTTAATATTTACAGGTTTTTCAATGCTACTCAATTTTAGCTGAAAAATGTATTTCAAATAATTAAAACTACATGTATTGCAGTTACAACATCAAGCAATCTTCATGTTGGAATTTGAAAAAAAAATTAATCTAAATCACTTTTCTGTCCGTAGAAAATTAGACCAGCAAAACATTGACAAATTGTTAAAAGTCCAGAAAACAAAAAGTTTCAGAAGAGAAAACACTTTTGTTCTTCTTACAATTGTTCCTAAATTATGCACTTTTTCTAGATTTTTTTCCTTAACATTAAGGATTTGAATTTAGACAATATATTTCTTGAGAAAATGCAACCAATAACATATTATGAAACTGCAATTTTTTTTTTAAATTCAAAATTATTACTAATATTACAGTTCAACAGTTGGCCAACAATAAGCTTTTTTCTCTCTCTTTCAATTGCTGTCAAACTTTTGAGGTATCAGCATTTTTACAAAACAAATCAATTTCAAAGACATTTGTGTCACAACGTGGTGGAATCAGGTGCTCGTCAATTATTGGGCATGTGGGGTTTTGGGCATCTATCTGGAATATGAGTCGAGATATTTGTGATAAATGAGGTGGTGTCGCCTGATTTCAGAGGTAAAATTAGTGAGAAAATGCCTGCCAAAGTTTGGTAACTTCTAACGCTTTAGAATCCTTTAAAAAAAACTACACATTTACATTTTTTGCGCATTTAATCAACATTTTTCTGTAAAATCCACACAAATGAGTTTTTAAATGGACATAACAGGTGTTGAGCTAAAAAAAGAAATTCGATAAAAAAGGCCCAGAGGCCAGAAAAATGCCAGTTTCTTTGATTACATTATTTTGACGAGCGCCTAATTTCACTGTGATGCCTCATATTTGGAGACTGCATTGTGGAGCAAAAAGAAAAAAACCCTTCAATCACAGGGGCTGCACCTCCTGCTAAGAGTGATTTACAACCTGACAACAAATGGCACTTCAAATAAGCTCACTTTTTTCTTAGAACACATCATCATGATTATGTTTAATAACATGCACTGCTGTTCTATTCTGGTAATATTCATGAACAATTTGCTTGGTTAAGTTCATATAGAACTGAGGATTACCTGGTCGGTAATCTTCGTATTTGTAGCCATCATTGCCAGTTTTGGGAATGGCTGCTTCCACCTGAGTACCTTCATGCCATTCATTAAAGGAAGTGATGGACAAAAACGGAGGCTTCACTGCCAGGGCAGACTTGAAGGCCGATGTGTAGTACTTGCCGTGCAGGCGAAGCTTGGTGTTCTTGCCATTCCACGTCCTTACTCTGGTGTCAATGTAACCCGGCCCTATACTTGGTATAAAGATCAAGTTGTGATCCTTCGCTTCCTTGGCCAAGAGGGGCCAGTTATGCCAGGTACATCCATAAGAGAACCCATTGCTGGCGAAGTAAGTGTAGAAACCATCAAAGCCCGACTGAACAAGATGCTTCATGTGATTGTGTTCGACCAACAAGCCAATGACAACAGCATCATACTCAGTGCCTCTTATAGTGAAGCGACCGTCAGCCTTCAGTGCATCTGCCCACAGCTTTGAGTCAATTTGATATGAGTCGTACAAGTAAATCAGAGGAAGTTGTTTGCCTTTATGTTGAGTGCGATAAAATGCAGGGTGGTTTCCATATTTCACAATGATGTAAGTAAGAACTTCTTTCAAAGTTTCTCCACTCCGATCACTGTAAGGTTCTATGTGGAAAGCAATCTGGAAAATAATCAAAGAAGACAGAGATGGTATATAAAAAAAAAGAATAAATAAAGCTTCTGTGTACAACACATTATAAGGTAAAAGAAAGAATTTTATTCCTCAAGAAGAGTTAACTCCACAGCCAGACCATTAATGGAGCATACCCAGTTAGCTAAATCAAGTAACTAGGCGTAGGGACAACTCAGTCTGTAAAAAGGCATTGTTCTCAGGAGAGGTCCATTCTGAATTACCAAGACTCCACAAAAAATTTGTATTTTCTGTCTCTCTCTTCAATGTTGACAAAAAAAAGAACCATAGTCTGCTTTCTCTCTTTATCACAACAGATTTCTACCACTACCTGTATCCCTCATAGACCACCAACTGCAGTAATTTTTTTAATGTAGTAATAGTAAGATATAGATGGTCGCCTCTTTTCTTTCTGCCCACAACTTTACCTTTGCAAACCGTCATCATAAAAGCACTTACAAAATACAAAATACTTATCGAACAAGCTAATTGACAAAAGCGTAGGTGTCACTGTGCAAAAAAGTCAGGTAAATCGCACCTTCAGCCCATAGTCTGCTGCGGCGTCCAGCAATGAGGGCATCAAAGAATCTACTGGAGTCTCTGAGGACTTTTCATGTTGTGGAGGGTACCAAGACACAGAGAGAACCCCTGGAGGATGAACAAAGTAGATTCCTAGAACATGTGCCTAAAAAGAGTGAGAGTAAATGTAGAGAATACCGAAAGAAGAGTGGCTATAAGATCAGATACTGCAAAGTCGCAGCAAAAGTTAGAAGAAGTGAGAGAGTACCTGAGAGATCCAATGAAAAAAAAAAAGACTTGGGGAATAGGCATGCCATTATATCAGGGGGGGGAAGTCATGTCAATTTACCAAAAACCGTCTTTGACAGTCTATCCCATCACAAATGCAGTTTCCCCAGTTGACCTACTGTGACAGTTCTTTCATTCTAAGGATATTCATTTAATACATGACCCATGGACTAGCATTCTCTCTCTTTTTCTCCACCTATCACTCATACCATACTTCACTATGGTTCTACTTTTTATCTTTCCCTCTGATGTTTCTGCATGTCTTATTTTTTCCCAGCTCTAAATGATCGTTAATGGGTCAATGTGCTTCTCATTATTCAACTCAATACTTATACACAACAAGGTAACTAAGGAAAATTATAAGGCATAAATATAAACATGAATGTTATTGAAAGTGAAAGGCTTCTTATGAATCTTTTGTGCAAAAATAACAAAGTAACAACATAGTGAATATAAGGTTCATGGTGCAAAACTAGCCAAGACTTTTTTGTTTCTTAGACCGTTTGAAGCAGGTCAGATGTTTGGGTGCAAATCACACTAGAACATTGATGATTGATGAAAATAATAAAATGATGTAAAACCATTCATTCGGTAGTCAAATAAAAGTGAAAATGAAGGAGATGTGAATGTGTGTTAGCAACCTGAAAACAAAATTAGATATTCTGAGAGAAGAAAAGCATTTACCAACACCAGCATCACTGATTTGTTTCATGTGCATTTTGATAACTTGAGGATCTGCTGAACTGTATGGACCAAGTTGTGGATAGAAATTGGCTCCAATGTCTGCAGGTGGCTGATACTGTCTCTTTCTCGTATGTGTTTTGTCACTCCAGTGAGGGATCAGTTCATGGTTCCAATGTGCATACTTCCCATCTGTCTGGGGGTTTTTGTACCACGGGTAGTAAAATATGTGCACAGCAAAGTCTACAAATGGGCGTGACTTGCGGGAGAAGTTGGTTACCTGTCCTTCTTCAGATAAACCAGGTTCTTCTTTAGCTACCTGGACTTCTTTGTCAGATATCTGGTCATCTTTTCCAAATGAGGAAAAGTCTTTTGTGGAATCAGCATTCTTAGGAGGAACATTATAGACTGAATTCGCATCTTTCAGTGGAAGATGCTTTTTGCTTGCAAACACAATTTTTTTTAAAGCCTCATGGTCATCAGTTAATTGATCTTTTGAGACTGCAGCCCTCGTACTGGTCATGAAGGTGAAAGCAATAAATGAGATGAGAGAAGCTACCACCAGGACAGCTAAGCAGTACTTTTTGCTGGCACGAAAATACCCTCTGAACGCCATGCTTTCAGGGTCTCAGGCAGAATACTGTCTTTCATCAACTCGACTTCAAGGAAATCTGTGAGTACAGAAAATTACATTTTCAAAAATACTATGAAGCATTATTTATAAATGTTGCACTGACTGTTAACAGAACATGTCACAAACCCAAGATCAAAATTTTAAGCTCCTTTTTTCTTCCACGATATCAACATTTTCTTTCAGTCCTACACATTATGCTTTCCTGGACAGAGTGTCCATGAAAAGTGTGTGCTTAACAAAAATAACTCCGCAACTGTTCATAAATTCGTACACACAATGATAGGAATACACAAGATACACTGCCAATGTAAGAAGACTGAGATCAACAAACAATTTAACACACACTGACTGTAATACGATGAACAGGTTTTAAAAAAAGTTTAAGCAAGAGTTTAACAGCATTTGCAAGACAAATACATGAAAGATTATTGGAGCGAGTAACAATCAAAGAAAAGAAGGAGAGAAGGAAAACGGATGTTTTTAATACAGTAGGACAGCAGAAGCAAACCACACCATAGCACCTGCCAGTCACCCACCAATTATAAACAGTGGTGAGTGTGAAGTTGCTTTACTTGAACACGATTCTATTTTCTGCCACCAGGCAAAAAGGGAAACTCATCAGTAACACATAGATCTAAATCTAAGGGGTCCTCAAGATCCTAATCTCTTCATTTTTAAGCTAAAAAAAAAGTGTCCATGATATGGAAAAGCAAAAACGATTACTCTTGCCGTTTTCAATAGCCTTTGCTTTGCTTTGTTTGTTTCATACCACTATAGACTACACCAACTTGGAACATTTGTTTTTTAGAGACTAAGTTTATGACTTTCTGAGTGCAAGTGTACTAAGTACTGAATTTTGGTAACTCTACTACTCATGAACTTCACACAACAAATTCTAAAACAGCTGATATTTAATCTAAATTTCTACATACCCACAGACATAAGCACTTTCTCGTCTTAAACACCCTGGGAAAGTTCTCCATTCAAATTCTAACAAGACTCCCAAGTGTAGAAAACGGAGCAGAGTAAAATACACTTCTTTTCATGTAATTAATTAACTTGGGCCAACACTATGTAGGCCTTATACTGCTAGGCTACAGAAGGGTATTAATTTTAGACAGGTCTCCGCCACGTCAACATTGTTGGAGGATGTAGATCTAGATCTAAATAAAAGATAGTTGTTGCATCAGGTGCTGATCCACCAAAGGGTCGGGTTGAGGGTGTGTGTTGGGGGGGGGGGGCAGATCTTGCTGCGACAACAAGGCCTACTCCAGCCTTGGATTAGGATAGAGGTAGGCCTACATCTACTTTACCTAGTCTGGTTCAGACTGGCACGACAATCAATGCCTACCGAGTACATCGAGATCTGGATCTAGAGTCTAGATCTATTTTTTTCCCCTTTTCAATATGTGAAACTTGCACGCAACTGACTGAATCCATTCAGGATACAACACACCACTGACTGAGTCTTCTCACAACTCGAGAAGCGATAACTGCCGATAACCCAACCCATTAGGCCTACCTATCACCAGAGACACTCTCTGCTATCACATTGTGACAGAAAAACACGGATGAAAATTGCCGTGGATATTCCCAGATGTTTGGGAATAGAAGGTTGTGAGCTATTTGCAAATCGCTTTGCAAGGCGATCAACGAAATGTTCCTTGTATAAAATTTGATCTAGATTTTATGAACATGATGATTGTTTGGAAGGGGGGAGTGGTCTGTACAGGGAACAGCACTTCACTGGGAGCATTTTCGTTGGCTTCTTTGAGTGAGAAAAAAAGTACTTTCCTCCCTCCCAGTCCCAGAGTCTCCAAATTCGGCCCCTCTCTCTAGTTTTTTATCATTCACAACAACCACACTAGGGGCTGAGGGGCCTTCCCCTTTTTGTTCTTGTTCTTGTCTCTTTCTCTCTCTCTGTCCACTTATCTCCTCTCGCCGTCTTTCTTCCTCTCACACCACCCCCACCCCCC